TTACTGTCGTAATCGTTAGTTGTCGATCATTTACGCGATGCACGCGATATCCGCATAGAAATAATACTGCGAAAGCACACGCTGGAATAGAGACATGCAATGTACGGCCGAATTGATAATTAATCAGATTACTGTCGAACACAACGGCGGAACCAAAGATTACTGTAATCATTGGAAAATTGACGTCCGTCGCGGAGGAAACAGCGAGCTGTATAATGCAGCGCGTAGGATAAAGCATTTCTCTCGTGGAATTTCATCGTTAGACGAGCTTCCGGCTCGCACGCACGGACGGCTGTTGCGAGAAAGTGCGACGGCTCGTCCGAATTTATGATATCGTTTGATTACGCGCAACGCATTCAGGCTATTCGCCGTCACAATAATAGCGTGCCTTCTCTCTCGATGTGTCACTGTACTCTCTCTCCTACTGGCGAGACGTTATGTGGAAACATCGCGAAACTTTTAATGACGATAATCGACTTAATTATTCGTCGGATTATTTCTGAAAACCAGCTTTTGCGACTATCCAACGCGTTCTCTTTTCGAGACAGAAAATATAAACTCCTCCGAATGAAACTTGACCTGATATAAATCGACGGGGCGAAACAAAAGAGATCGATAAACTGTCGCTGAGAGAGCAGTGTGGCGAAATTGAATTTGGGAAGATCGATGCCTCGGCGCTGATCTAAGGCTACCTGAGGCCACCTGGAGCGCGCCCTAAACGAGTTTGACCCCCGCACAGAGAAAAAGCGCTTGGAAAGATCGAGGTGAGCCACCCTTCGGCGCGTACACAAAGTGGACAAAGGACTCGGGGCGCATCGCGATGCAAGTGGACGAGCATAAATATTTGATAACACGGCGAGATAGGCACACGGCGTCGATGTAACGACGTCGCGTCGGTGTGTACACGACGCGAGGGGTGCGGCGGGGGTGAGCGCGAGGAGGGAGGGAGGGAGAGATGCTTTCGGCCGCGCGCATAGCTCGCATACCGTGCCTTCCTCGCATGGTATGTTATAATTAGTGACTCCTCCTCCGCGCGCTCGCACGCAACATTGATATGTCCACGAGCCTCGGAATACTTCCCTAATGAGATGGCGCCGATAAACAACGGGTTAAGTGCTCGCGCCGGTCAGCAAGATGCGTTTACGTCGCTCGCCACGCCCGTAAAGAACCTCGTCGTCGCTGCGTGTAAAGTCGCGCAAAAGAGCTGACGTCGTCGGAATACATCGTATCGCGTCGGCCGTGTTGCGCGCGATGTTGTGAAAATGCCATCCTGTTTATCACCGCGACAAAGATTTTCCCGGGCCGTTTTCGCAGATAAGGAACGTCAGCGCGCGAAATCGTAAAAGCGGAATACGCGTGGCTACGTCAGATCGTTCGACTCGACCCAAGTTTTTCAATATGTTTTGCGACGCACTAATTCCACCTTTATTCCGCCCCGTCGTATTTCGCGAATGAGATATTTCACCCGATTTCATTACGTCCTATCGCGTATGTGAAACGAACGCCACGGTGATATAGTGAACGAGTATTAATATTACTCTCTAGATATTTTTGGGGAAAAATCGCACGAAAGTAAATCATATAACATCTATTCAGCAGTCATCGAGGTGTGTTTGCGAGAAAAATAAATGCACGCGAAAGCTAAATGTATATCTCGGCTGCATTTAGCTCTTCCCGCAATAGATTTACATCGTACATCTCGCATACATGACATAAGCGTGTTATACAACTCCGGCCAAATAAAAGCGTCAGCAAAAATTATGTTCTTTTTTTTGTGCAACGCGAGAATTTTTAACGTCGCGCAACCAGGTCGTTGCCAAAACGCCGCTGCTGAATGCAACTCGTGCAAATTCATCGTGAGAAATTTCTTATTCGCGGATAAGAATCATCAAGAAAGTCGGTCGTTCGCGCCTTTCTATTCACGTCCTTGCATCATGATTAAAGAGCTTTGATCTCTGAGCGTATTAAAGAAATCTTCGAGCTCTAATATTAATATTCACAATGCCTCAAAAATTTTCATATCTCCGATTCGATTTATCGCGGGCAAAGCGCGTCTTCGCCACCGTCGCGTCGGTGACGCGCGACTTTTTACAAATCGCGCCGAAACACGCAGTTTTTAAACTTAATCTATTAACAACTCGCGAGAAATTACCCGCTCCGCGGGCGGTCGCGCCCTCGTGCCTGTCGCAAATCGAGAGATCTGAAATCGTTTTTTGATCTCGAGTCGCGCGCCGCGTGAGAAATGTTCGAACCGCACGAAAGCCTACGATTGTATGTGTGCGCGCGTCGCAGCGAAAAAGTTTCTATATTAGCGCCATTTACTCTCATTTGCCACGACAAACGTCGTCGCCATTAGACTCCCGCGGCGCGGTGCAAGCGGGAACGAGCGCGAGAGGCGGGCCGCAATTGTAAGTCGTCCTGGGACGAATAGGGACGAATGGTGGCGGCGGGCTCGCGGCGCTCCTTCCCTCGCCGCTTCGTCGCTTTCTTCCGTAATAATCGTTACGCTGGATAGCCTCCGGGAAAACGGCGTCTCGGAGGAATAGGTGTACGAAAGATACATATACCGATACCGGCACCCCCAATTATGTTTCATCAAGACTTTAATTCGGTACTTTGAACACCGTAACGCAACGACCCGCAACGAAATTGCTCGCGGAGTACTTGTATCTGGAAAGGTGCAGCTGGGAAATTAAATATCGCGAGAAGTCGCTTCTCTCAGCATTAAGTATGCCGGGAATATCGCGCGCATTCTTTGAAAGTACACCTTATCATTTCGATAATTGTTTTTCCGCTAAGCGCGCTATCTTCGCACTTGAATGGAGATTTTAAACGCCTTCCAAAAATAGCAGTCGTAGTAATTAAGTCATTGTCAGTTTATAGGGAAAAATAACACGTATATTGAGTTTATTCATTTATCGCATTATTTTGAAAACGCTCGGAACAGTTAACTTAATAAAGACAGGCAGACACTTAGATAAACGCCAACAGAATTGCTCTAATGTATAGCGGAAGAAAATTAAGCGGCGTTTTTTGACCGATGTTTTTACGCGCGATATAGCACGACGTCGAGCGGCGAAAACGGACACGTATATAATAAAATTTATTATAATATACTTGCAAACTCTCCGAAATAATGACGACGGGAGAATAGCGGAGAGAGGCGTCACCAACGTTTATCATCAATTATACGTCGATAAAGCTGCCAAACTAAATCTCGGAAACATCGGGCAGCTCCGATCACCGTGCAACAAACCACCTCTTACGCTCGTAGATTGAAATTTATTGACACGCCATAATTACACGCCACGCGGAAGTTGATTGTGCAGCGTTCTGATTCTCATTAGGGGCGCGCGCGTTTAGGCGCTGCATACAGCGCTTAAAGTTTGTACGAAAATTTGAGCAAACATTGAGGAACATCCTGAAACTCATTTTCTTCGAAAGGAGTAGCGCCCGTAAAATAATTTATAATTAAACGACTAGTTTTAAATTTAAAAAATATTAGACACCAACATTTTTTTCTTTAAAATGTAATACAATATGTAATTTTATCGGAAACTTAAATATCTTAAATTTAGTAAAAAGTAAAATCTTGTTACTTTTCAGCGTCAAATTTAATTCACCAAATCCCGAGTCGTTGCGGCAGTTGATTACACATTCGATTGTGTTGGGGAGCGGAAACACGTTTAAGGACTCGTTTTCCCCCGGGCGTTTCCGACAGTATCGATTTGACGACGACGGATCGAGCAGTTAGAAAACGAAGAAAACACCGTTCGAGGGATTGCGTGCACGAGTGGCGGCAAAGGCCGGCAGGGAAAAGTGCGCGCGTCAGATATACGATACGTATGTATTCGTTACCGTGAACGGGTTAAGCGTTTCCGACCTCTATTTGCGTTTCGTCGGAACACACTGTTTGTCTTCAATCCGCGTGGATCGAAAAATATTGAAGAGGTCGGCATACGGGTTAATAGCGTACCCGCGCACGATCCACGCTTCGAAACGCGCCGCCAAACAAACGAGATGATATCAGCGGGAGCATTGCGCTTAATTGAGCGAATTTTCCGCGTCGTTAAAATTTTAACTATTATCGCGTAAGTATTATTGGCGATGTAAGCAATCCTCTGTAAACTTGGAAGCTGCATTCATGTAGATACTTATAACAAGCACGTGCATTCGCAAAATGATTTTCGTCCCGAGCCTCGCTGAAGCAAACGTTAGCGAGGAAAAAAGGAATCATACGTGACGGGCGTTCCATATAATTCGGGAGCCGCTCATTCGTAAGGGAGAACATTGGGGATATGGAATGTGGAAAGGAATTTCGGTCGGAAACGGCGGAACACGAACGAGCGAGTGGTGATGTACGTTTAATAACGGAAGGTGAATTCGCACCGCGGTGTCGTAATGGAAAAGAGCGCTGCAATATAGGGGCGGCTTTACTACATATTAGTCGCGAGGACCGTAAATTCTTAGAGTATTCGGTATTCTTTAGTGACGTAACGAACAAATCGGTAAGACGATAAATCGAATTTTCTCTCTCCCTCTTTCTTCGCGGAGCATCATCAACGCCTATTTAAATTGTGGTGAATCGTGCATCATATAAACTACGTATGCCTCATCAAATACTTGCATTAAATTCTTTGCTTTCCAAAAGCAAATAAGGATGAAATTTTCCGCAATCACTCGTAAATTCAGCATTAGCGCATTTAAAAAATATGAAGCCAACAATTTAGAAATAATGTTCTATTGATATGTGGAATATCATGCTTCATGTCTCTTTTGACTTTTCAATTTAATTAATGATGATATTTACTGATAATCATTAAATTCGAATATATTTGTTGAAAATGTATCAAAGGGCTCGTAAGAGTTATTGTTGCGAATATCTTTTACATGTTTCGTTGCTTACTTGAAGACTACAATTGTTACACAGAATGCACAATTCTGCAAATGCTAATTTCACGGTGATTTTGCATGCGGCAAGAACAAGATTGCAGACTCACGTGTATAGCGGTACTCCAGCTTCGTCTTTAAACCAGAAAACCATGTGCAGCGTGTCCTCGCCGGGCGGAGTTATGTCGCACGGTAATTCGGCAGGCCTTCCTTCCACCACGCTAATGTTCACCAATGGAACTGAAAATAGACGTTTTGTTCGTTTCATTGTCGTTTTACCTTTCTCACAGACAGAAAAAGAAATTAAAGAGCTTAAGGTCGCAGAGCAATGAATGTGTAGCAAGAAATATAATAAGAAATAAAAAGGAGTAAATTTCTTTTACCGACGAGCTCTAACGGACTCAGTCATATAAAGTATATACCTTTATATTCAGAAATTTCAAATTTCACGTTGAATGGTACGGACAGTTTCGATCTCAAGATAGAACGTCAAATAGTTCAGAGTTTTCAAGCTGTAGACTCTTTTCAAACTGTTCAAACTAACTTCAGCATAGAAAGTTCGGAAATTGACATCTGCATACAGTTAGGCAAGAATAAAGGACTGTTATTTTTAAAGGCTGTAATGTCCGAACTGTTTGAATTTTCAGAATTACCATTGTAGACGGACTATTCTACTATTCGGACTGTCCAAACTCATTTCTTTGCTTTAGATTATTCAAATAGTTCGAACATACGATACGTTCGAATCTTTTGTCCGAATCCTAATCTGTATAAGCAAACTATATTTGTATATGCATATAAACATATCACAAAATATATGGTAATATTAAACATAGCTTGCTTGCTTATAAGCCATATTTAAGAATTTGTTCTGGGAAAACAAAAATTCCTTATTTATATTTTTCTATACTTCGCAGAAATCTATATGAGAATATCTCTAATCTTCGAAGCAGATACAGAGCACCGGGTCTTCGCAACCAAGAACAAATTTTGCGAACACTTTTCCCAATGAGAATTCACAAGGACCAATATAGATACGCGTGTAAATCGATAAGTGATATTCGCGTCCAAGCCGATATCGGAAATACCGACGGTTCGCCTGTCGCGATCAGCTGCGATGAGACGATACGTGAAATCGGGGCGCGATGGGATTAAGAGATTCGGCTTATGAAATTCCGCTTCCGCGAGACACATCCCCGACTGTTTGGTCGTAGAGGTCGCAGCAACTCTCTCATTTCCTCTCTCTCTCTCTCTC